TTAAAAGGAACTTCCAATCATAGAATTAAGTTTATTGTGTGTGATGGTGGATTCCAGGATGTTTTATGCTCCGTTTAGTCAAAATGTGAATATTTTTCTCTCGACTGCGATTGACGACACAGCAACCCCGAAAGTGAAAATTTATTAGTCGTTATTTTCAAAAACCAAGTAGCGAGTTACAAAGAGCATAGTCAGATTATCTAGAATACGAGCTTTAAGGCTTGCAGCTTACTTTCTGATGAAGATATCAGCGAATAAAGATTTGAAATATTTGGTTAATTTGTATGGGGACGCCATCTTGGATGATAACTTTGATCATCCAAGATGGCGGCTGGTTTCAAATTGACTTCAAAAACTCTGATTTCCTTGATTTCCCTTGTAAATTTTGTTCGAATTATGGCTTTATTTCAAAGAAAAATCACCTTAAGTAAGTTTTTACGGAGTTGAAAGAATGATTTATCCAATTTCGAAGTTTTTGTTTACGATCTAAAAGTAGAATAAATTACTCCGCACAAACTAAAACTTTTGTGATTCGCCACCAAAGCGTTAAATTCGTCTGAAAATTTCCATACACGCTATCTAGAAATATATTTAAGGTAAACTGTAAGAACAGCTCTTTGGCAAAAATACTTTTGGATATCAGAGCAAATGCTGGATTAGTGTTGATTGAATCCGCTTTCTTAGTCGGATAACGATTTGCGTAAGAAATTTTGACAAACACAAATTCGCGCAACATCGACAAAGAAAATKTTTAACTGAATTTTGAATTTGACGTATGGGTGATTTTGATATATTTCTTCGTGCACGATCCAAAAATATCGGCACTTAAATAATCCTTACATCTTTCAGACCAAATATTTGCTGGCTAAAATAATTCGTTCTTTAATAGATTAATCAAATTGTTCCCTATCTCAAAATAACACAGAGCGGTGAAGGTAATCAATAATAAAGTTTTTACCTTAATTTGCTGTTTTTGAACTGTTTCATGACCATCTTTACAATTTGTAAAGCCTTATCTTCTTCTAAGACATCGTTCCCAAATCTAACCATTCCACGGGAGTCTGTCACATTAGTATTATCCTTTGGATAAATTGTAGGGTACATTATTTCCCATTTACARCCATATCTTTTAAGTTTATAGGTCACTAAGTAATCAGGTTTATATTTACATCTAGGGAATAAATCTTCAATCAGGTCTTGAGCAATGAATGGTAACTTGTAGATTTYTTCTCTAGATATTCGCTGAGAAGAACTCCCACTTTTTATATATTCATTTTTCCCATGCATTTTAWGTTTTGGTTGAGGGAAATTATGAACATTTACGACATCCGCTTCAGATATGTCTTTATCGTCTTGATAACCTCTAAAATATTCAGTAGAAATGGCCTTATATTCAGAATCATCAATCTTCCACTGTAAGGATAAATAATCAAACAATTGAAAACCTCCATGTTTGTGGARTATTTCAAAATAATAGGATTTAGAATTTTCCAAATATATTTTAGATGTTGTGGCTTCGTTTCCTTTCTCTGAACACAAAAGACATCGGCTGCTGTTTAGTTTGTTATTTATACTCAACCAAAACTCTGCTGTCCCACTGAACTTCAAACGAAAAGAATATTTTCCACTTGTAGGGGTAATTAGGTAACCAAACACGCGTTTGCCATAGTTCGGTGCGAGGTTGGAGATGTCTAAACTAGACCAAAGCTTTCTTATGGAGGGAACATTAGGGAAAAGAGGAAATAACTTGAGTGTTAAGATGTTGTTACCACACAAGTTGAGCCACAAATGCACATTGACAA